AAAATATTTTTATATATTTATATATGTAAAAGCACATATATATAAATATTTCTTGTTCCTAACTGTGTAAAATTCAGTATTTTTGTTCATTTGAATGAAAGGTCACTAGGTTTTTAGTTTGTGATGTTTAAAAAGCACTTTCCTTTTCATCTGCTGTTGCGTTTATGGAGTTAGTGGAATGATCCATGTGATGAAAAAACATGAAGGTGCTGAAAATATTAATGAACATCATAATCACGTATGCATAAAAAGAACTTGACAAAGCGAGTTGTGTTAGCCTAAAGTATATTGTGTTCCCTTAAATGCATTTTTAAGGGAACAGGAGCAGGCTGCCCAAAGAGGTTGTGGAGTCTCCTTCTCTGGAGACATTCAAAACCCGCATGGACGCGTTCCTGTGTGACCTGGTCTAGGTGATCCTGCTCTGGCAGGGGGGTTGGACTGGATGATCTTTCAAGGTCCCTTCCAACTCCTAATATTCTGTGATTCTGTGATTTCACTTAATATCCTCCAGACTGCTTTGTTTATCTCTTCTCTCCTGTTGTAAATAGGAGAGGAACATTACAATTGCATCTCTGCCCTGCATAAGTCTATGAGAGGCTCAGATGAAAATGCTTCCCTTTACTGGCTTGCTCGAATGCTTGAAGGTGGTGAGGATCCGCTCTATGTGGCAAGGAGGCTGGTGAGGTTTGCAAGTGAAGATATAGGTGAGTATTTGCAGTATTTCGTTTTGGAATATTATGTTGAATGAAGATCTGCCAGGCTTCTGGTTTCCAAAGATTGGTGTTTGTAAAAAATCAACCCCAAACTTGCTATATGCAAAATGGGTGCAAAATACTGAAATGCTCCACATCCAACAAAAGCTTTGTATCTGGAGAGACCTACATGTGGTGTCATTGTGATGACTACCTATTGCAGGAGAAACAGCTATTTTTGAGGTCAGGTTTTGGCAGCATATTAATATGGATTCTTTTACTGGTGATTGTAAGTCACCAGTAAATTAGTGTCACAGAAAATGTGTATTTCAGAGATGTCTGTACTTTCTTTGTGCTTGTGGAAGGTGAATGCGTACTCTGACTTGCAAACCTCAGATTTGATAGCTGACTCCCTAGTTGTAAGGCGTCTTGATTGACTTACCCAAGTAACAGATGCAGCAAAATTTTAGCACATATGTGGTGGGTGAAGAGATATGGGGAAGCTATGTCTGTATAGCAGTATTTCCTCATTTCTTTCTCACTTACAAAAATATAAGTGAATCATTCACAGACAGATATGGCTCAGACTGCCACCATGTAGCAGCAGTTTCAGAATGTAAGTTATAGCCACAATTTAGACCTTTCCTTATTGTGGATGGAAGGAGTACGTCTTATGTATGCAAAGTATTGTAACAGAACTTCCAGTGTCTGAGAAAGCAACTTGGAAACATGCATGGATAACCATGCCTCTCGCAGGAAAAGGAGAGGAAAAAGAAAAAAATGAAGAGACTGTAACTGAAGTAAGTGGACTTTAACCTGCTTTTATCTGATCTCTCTTTGTAGGGCTGGCAGATCCTCTGGCTTTAACACAAGCAGTTGCTGCTTATCAAGGTTGTCATTTTATTGGAATGCCAGAATGTGAGGTAAAGGCTTCATTAATTCACTGATTTTAAAGTACTGCAAACTGTAAAACCTAGTTGTAATTGTAAAAAGAAACTGAGATTGCAAGGACAAGACAAATTTAGTTACTTATTCAGCAACCCCCTTCTTTGACAAGTAAAAGAACATCGTAGCTCTTAAACTAGGTGTAGTTCAAAATAAAATTCACTTCATATGTATTGTTAAAATGTGATATGTGAACTGACATCATTTTGCTCTGTCCATTTTCCCCCTCTCTGTTATAAATAAAATTAGTTATTCTGATATCCTAAAATTGCTATCCATTTTTAGTAGTCAAAGTCATGAAGAGCTGTGTTGCTGTTAAATAATAATATGCATACTATAGTAGCAGGCAGGGGTCAGTTTGAAAGCATGTCATGCTACACAAACAACCTGAATAACAGACCTTTTCCCAAAGAGCTTCAAAGAAGTAAGTTAACATTTTTCCTTTTCTTCTTTCCAGGTCATTCTAGCACAATGTGTCGTGTACTTTGCCAGAGCACCAAAGTCTATAGAGGTGTACAGGGCATATAGCAATGTCAAAGAATGTCTGAGGATGCACACAGGACCTCTGCCGCCTGTTCCGCTGCACCTGAGAAACGCCCCAACACGGCTCATGAAGAACCTGGGCTACGGTAAAGGCTATAAGTATAACCCCATGTACAAGGAGCCTGTAGAGCAGGACTATCTACCAGAGGAGCTGAAAGGAACAGACTTTTTCGAGGAACGAAAGACGTGACTGCTTTGTTCACAATGGGTTTTGATTTTATGACTCGTACATTTGTACTGGGACAGAAATTCCCCTTGCAGTTTCAGCCATCTATTACTGTGGTTGAAAGTATGAGACTACAGAGCCTTTTAGTTACTTTCGTATCCTTCTGGTTTTACTGCTGTTACTCTGAAGGTGTTTTGTAAAGAATTGCAATTAAGCAGTGCAGAAATACAAAAATAAGCTTTATCGTTACATTACTTGTTACCCTCTGTTTCAAATGAAATGGAGAAAGAAATGAATCACCTGTATTTCTGGGTCTTACTGCAAGACAAGGAGTATTACTGTGCTGCTTTATAAAAACAATATCTATTTCAGATTGTGAGAATGTTTATTTTCCAGAAACATAGTAAAATGTGCTTCCCCCCCCAGTAAAATACAGTAAGCAAAGTATAATTACCATGTAATTCTTGCTCTCATGGTGTTCCAGAGACTAATTTTGTACACCATCATTTATTAAATCAATAAAGTTGTTAGAAATAGTGTCTGTGCATTTGTTTAAAAATTCCTGTGACAGCAATGTGGTTTTGAAAGTTTGAGGTTGCTTTAACGTTGTCATCCTACTTTCCAGAGCAACTTTAAATCATTTTAGAAGTATGTCATGAAAATAGCGGAATTATTTTAATTTTTAAAGTTGTCTCACTTAAAATTTTTATTGTGTGATGACATTTTGGGAAGCACTTTTGGAAAGATTCCTGGTAGCGAACCGTGCTCATATATTTCCAGTTGTGCTTCAAGAATTCTGTTAGGTTTAAATTGGAAAGCAGAGACACACAAACTGACTTCCTGCTGTTATAATAGAGTTTGGCTTCCTCTTCCTACTGAAAACATATCCCCATCCAAGATTGCTGTTGAGTGAACGTGTCGGTCAGTGGAACACATGATGATGACAGCGTCCCTGATGTTGACAACATTCCTTCACTGAAGTGCTGTTTATTTTTCTTCTCCTCAATCTTCCTTAAGTGTGCTCAGTGGTCCAGTGTGCTGAAAAGCCAGCAACTGCTAAACCAGCATGTGACGGTGCTAACTAGCACTTGGGTACCAAAAGAGGACCGTGTTTGGCTAGAATTACAGCAGATAATTAGCAAAGAAGATTTTCATTACTGAAGTGCTGAGGAGCCACTGGGGCAACTGTCCACCCTTGCCAAAGTGTTGTGAAATAATCTGGCAAATCTGGAATAAGTCCTGCTAAAAGAAGGAGACTGCTCTGCTGACTTCCCTGAGAGGTGTCAGAAGGTTACTAACTCTCCTCCAAAAGTGCTACTTACCACAGATTTATTTTTCTTTTTTGTAATAGTGGGGTTTTTTTCTGACGTGTTGGTTAAACAATAGCTGGTGCTTCATTCCACATTTGCAGTATTGCCTTTAACAGTCTTTCAGAACTTGTATTCAGCTAACTTAGTCGATTTGTAAATAAATATTTTAGAGTTTTTTGGCAAAGGAAGAAAAGTGGTTTGTACTGAAGCCACGCTGAGCTCTTTGCACCTCTCTCGAGCTGTCCCTATGGCACAACCCAGCCACCTGCTGGTCAGCTGCCTGGTGTACACAGATTGCAGGCAGGAGTTTCTTGGCAGCCGAGGTATTTGGTGCTGCAGGGAGCTCACTTCAGCAGGGATGCCACAACATGCATCTGGAGTTCGTTCAGAGCAATTTTCACAGACCAGGAGGTCTGAGGATGCAGTTCCAAGTCAGGAAGTTAACTTTAACTTTCCTGTAGCGTTACGCTTGTTTCAAGAACAGATTGCTGGACCTTGGCCTTGATCAAAGGTTTTCAATATACAACCTGCAAAAGTTTTTGGTTGCTGTCTTCTCTTCACCAAAGGGTATTTGCGCTGGAGATTGATTTTGTTGTGAGGATGCCAGCTTGGTAGTCTTCATATTGTTACTCTGCATGACAGAAATATAGGACTTAAGTCAAGGGCTGTGGTGTAACTGAAATGTTTCAGAAATAAACTGATTTGATGATCGCATACTGTCTAAGGGCTTGAGTCAGATTTTTTAAATGTTACTTTGTGTTCTTCCTCAAACAGGTACCTGTATTCTTCACGGCCGGATGGTTTAGCAGGTAGGAGCTACTCCTCTGAGTTTGTCTGCCCTTTCAAGATATGTAGAAAGATGGCAATAGAGGTGAAAACATGGGTTATATTAATCAAAAATACTCTTGGCAAAATTACTTGTGCTGTCAACTAATGTTCATTTTCATTCTTAAGACACAGAAAGGTGATGTAAATATTTCTTTAAAGGGCTCGTGATTTGCAAGCTGACCCCAGCTTGCAGAACAAATCAAATCAGTGGATTGGTAAAGACTTTTTTGTCTTACAGGTGTAACGAGAGGTTTGTGTGCTTCCAATTGGCAGTTACAAGTGTTGGGCTAATGCAGTCTGAGGTATTTTTCCATTCTTATTTTCTGCTATTAGCAGAAAGAATGGGATAACCTCACCAGATTTTTTTAAACTTTGCTAGGACCTACTGATGCTCAAATCTAATTCACTAAAGGGAAACCCCAGACTGTAATTTCTTGTCTGCGGTTGACAGAAAACTTTACTCAGAGCCTTAACTTTCTATTTGCAGCTCTTCTTTTGGTTATTGAAGACTTGCTCAGACTTCCCTTGTTACAACAAAGTTTGTACCAGACGTTACAGCAAAAGTTGCACAGAAGTTTTGCAGAACAGTATTCATGTGTTTTGCCTTGTATGCCTCTCTGGTACCCCCTGTTCTGGAGCAGCTTGGTATATTCAGGGGGGACCCAATGAAAATGCTCCATGGTGGTCTGTACTTAGCTGTCTAGCAGGGACATTGTATTTTATCTGGTGAAAAACCAACCGAGTCAGGTGCAATCATATTATGGCTATAGTTTTTTTTAATTATTAATTACAGTGTCCTATAATAAAGATTAACTGACTTTTGAAAAAAAAAAGCAGATGAGAACCTTACACCAAAAATGGTACATGAAGGATTTTTCACATCTTTTAAAACTTTTCCAAAACCTTTCATGATCCAGTGTACAATAGCCAGAAGATGTTTACTTGTGGAGCTCTGAGATTAAATGCAAAGTGACTGACCAGGGTTATACATGTACTAATGCAAGAAGCAAGGCTTTCCGTATCTGTGAGGGCTTAGAGATTAGCATTTACATTCTGTGGCACACATATGAGAAGCCATTGCCTAAAACAGAGGATATATTGGTTAGTTACAGTGCATTAGTGGGCTATAATTTCTTTCTCAAGACCAGTTTAACCCAAGATTTACTTACTAACAAACACTGAAGACAGTAACAAAAGCACTGGTTTATTTGCTTTTCTGGGCTAGTATTTGGAGGACATAAAGTGTTGCTATTTGGGTCAGATATTAGAGGACATTCCTGATGCATGCTTATAGAGTATGCTAGGCAGGGAATTTAGTGATGAAGAATACCAGCAAAGTGTGAACACAGGTTTAGAATTACTAGCGAGATATTTCAGAATCTTATTCTTGGTAATGTTAGCTTTAACATATTGCAAGACATTGAAACTACCAAGATAATTCAGCTGTAAAATATGTCACAGCCATTCTCTTCTGGGGTTGGACACACATCGCCAAAGGTTTTGGTCAACAGCTGCCCTGTCTTGACTAAATAGCGGGTTATAAAACTGGCAGTAGGCTTGGTATCTCTCTGCAGCATTTGATGAGGCCCAGAAGCTGATAATACCAATAGTTTTTGAAAGCTTTGAGCAAAGTGTCTTTCTAAAGAGGAATAAGTCTTTCAACAAGCTTCATTTATGTAAATTTCCATGTTTTTCTTTTTAACGATTCATTTCTGTTGTTTGCTTGTAACTTCCTTGGTGCTTGAACTAATGCAGAAACAAATTGTTTTTATCCTGCTAGTTCTCTGAAAGGCATTTGGAGAAATAAGGCACAATGTGGTCATGATAGGGTTAATGGACTTTGATTCTGTACAAGCCCAAGTTAGGGAAGGTTTTCATAACCTGTAGATTTGAGGCAGTGATCTTATCTGGTGCTCACTTGGGAGTTGCTGTGGGGGAACGTGTGGGTTGAGGTGGAAATAGGAGAACTCCTGATAGCACAAATGTAGCTGAATCTACATGGAGGAGCAATGCAGTGAGGAGGTACTCAAGAAATTCTGGTTCAGAATAATCCATGCAGCCAGGACTGCTGTGATCAGTGCTCTTTCAGGACAGAAGCAGAAAAGCAGTGGTGAGTCCTCCCTCCCTGATCCCTGTGCCTAGCTCAGCCTGCAAGAAGGGAGCTGCGTCTGTGTAGCATGGAGAGAGACAGAGTTCTGAATTCCATAAGCTGTATGTTGTGTATTTGATGTGGAAGAGGGGAAGGAGCTTTGATCACGCTGCTCTTACATTGGTCACAATTGCTTTTTCCATGTGTATGGTGCTTCCCATGGTTCTTTGTGCTGTTTCCCATTTTTCCCCACCAAAATAAAATAAAAAAATAATAAGTAGAACCTGCTGACCTTACTCTGGAGACTCCATTAATAATTTCCCAGTGGCAAAAATAGTCCTGCTAGGGGCCTAGGTCAGTTTAATTATGAGATGAACTCCCCACTGGTCCCTCCCATCACCAGAAGGTCACAAAGGATGGCTGGGGCTCTGCAGGTTTCCTGCCACGTTACAGGACGAGAGCCAAAGTGCTAACAGGATTTCACCAAGTGTTTTGTGGGGTGGCTAACACAACAGGACAGGAGTCTGCAAGTGTCTTAGGCCAGGGGATATGGCCAACAGTTAAGCCAATAGCTCACCTGTTACATGAGAGGGTTGCACACTAATATTTTAACTTGTGACTGAGATTCCTGCATACACTGGGTAGGATGCCTTGTACTCATCTTCTTCCCCTACTCCTCCCTTTCCTTGGAAACTATTAGTTGTCTCCACCCATACCCCAGTTTCAGAACGGGGTTAGTCAGGATATCTTTTCCAGAGCTGGAGTAAATCTAACCAGCGTGTGCTCGCCTTCAGAGG